GAGGTCCTGTGATAATATTAGTCCCGTACGAATCGGGATTTCTGTGATTTGGCCAGCATTTGGCGGCTCGTATATCATTTTTCGAGGTTTTTGTTTCCTGTGTGCCTTTTTATCCATCTTTCGTGAAGAATGGAGCTGCGTTGGAGTTATTGATAGTATTTTGGGTGCTGTTTTATCGCTACACCATAGAATTTGCAGAAAGAGAAAGCTGAAAAGGTTTTGAGGTTAATATGTTACAAATAAATCAAGCATAAAGCTTGAGATATTATTTTAACCTGGTGAAATGTAAATAACACAGGGCACGAAACTAAATTAGTTTCTTTTTTTTTTTATCCATCTAACCAGACCATAGAACGGGACTCTCAAAGCCTTGACATCGTATCCGGGAGATAAGTCAGTAAATTCGAGTAAAATCACAGGCTTCGCTTATCCCGTGCGAATACACCACACGAAATTCAGATGTGGGGGGGTAATTTCAAAATCACACAAGGTCCCCAGATAATACTAATCCCGTGCGAATCTTTCGTGAAGAATGGAGCTGCGTTGGAGTTATTGATAGTATTTTGGGTGCTGTTTTATCGCTACACCATAGAATTTGCAGAAAGAGAAAGCTGAAAAGGTTTTGAGGTTAATATGTTACAAATAAATCAAGCATAAAGCTTGAGATATTATTTTAACCTGGTGAAATGTAAATAACACAGGGCACGAAACTAAATTAGTTTCTTTTTTTTTTTATCCATCTAACCAGACCATAGAACGGGACTCTCAAAGCCTTGACATCGTATCCGGGTGATAACTGTGTGAATTTGAGTAAAATCACAGGCTTAGCTTATCCCGTGCGAATGCACCACACGAAATTCAGTTGGGGGGGGTCATTTAAAAATCACACAAGATCCCCAGATAATACTAATCCTGTGCGAATAGCATCTGATTTTAACAGTACTTAAGTATTTTACTTATACTAAATAAAGGCTAAAAAATGCACTAGTGAAAAAGACATGCCAAAAACTGTAATGTTGTGGAGAAGCTGGGGGAAAAGGCAGAATCCAGGATCTATGTGCAGGTATTTAATGGAAAAACTAGAACAAACAATAAGCCAAAAACCAAAGGGAACAAAGAACAGAATAGTGATGTTACATACAGTGCAAATTTGTAAATTGCGAGGTCCCGGAACAAAGAGGCGTAACGAATCCGGCATGTGATTACAGGAGGGAGAGGTAACGGAGCATTCGCGCAATCATATTGGTGGACCAGTTTAAGTGATTAACAGTGTGCATCAGTTGCTTTTAGGGTCCATACGTTCACGAATAACCTGGAAAAGCCATACAAATTTTAAAACAGCAATTTCCAGGCCTGAAAAAGTTTTGAAAAAGTTGTTGAATTTTATTTTACAAATCTCTGTATAATATAATCAGGGTTATATTTAATGAGGTTCTAAATTTCGGTGGGGGATTGTGTGTGGCTATCGCATAATTTTACTCATTCCCGCAGCTTTCAAGTTTATAATGAGGGAAATTCCTGCATTTATTCAATATAGCATGTAGGTAAGATGAGCAAATAAATCCACACAAACTATAAGATTAAATCTAGTCATTTGAAACCATGAACGCTCTCAGAGCGCACCACATCAGCACATCTTGTCTGCACTACAACGAGCTGCTGCATGCTGCGATACAAGATTTTCACTCGCCTTTCAGGACAGCTGACAGAACTGTCACTTTCACAAAAATGTATAATTTGCACATCTTTTTAAGATACATCCTTTTAAGTACTTTAAGCCATTTGGTACTCGCGTGCTCCAGAGGCTGTATTCTGTGCCCTCACACAGTCAAGTCACATACACAACCCACTGCTCCGGGTGTTCACGGTGTGTGTGTGTTCACTGCTGTGTGTGTGCACTTTGGATGGGATAAATGCAGAGCACTAATTCCGAGTATGGGTCACCATACTTGGCCACATGTCATGTCACTTTCACTTTCACTTTTTACAAAGTCCACCTCGCGAATATTATATAAGAGTTATTTTTCGTAGTTTGTTGAGCTTAAGCGACCAGATACACACAAAAATTATGTCTAAATGGTGAGAAGGCCAATCTTCTACTACTTCATTAACTGCTCTTAAATCATGCACTAGGTACACTAGGTCTTGCATAGATGACAATCTGTGCCAGTGGCTGCAGCATGTTTTCAATGGCAGTCATGTTCTGGATGACAGGGACAAGTACTGCTGCTGTACTTTGAGCAACAGGGTTAGGCATGTTTACAAGAGCCATCACTGCTTATTGTTCTTCTTCTTCGCATTTGACTGCAACTTGAATCTCCTTTTTCTTGCTGGTTAATTGTTCAAGTTGTAGTTGTGTCAATTTTCTTTGTAGCTTTCTATCGTGGCTTTTCAGCTTCTGTTTATTCTTCCTGCATTGTTTCACCTCATAAGCCACATGATCACAGAATTCCTTGTGTGTCTTGGAGTTCAGACCGACCACATCTTCCAACTTGACTTTTACTCTTTGTGGCA